GCGTCTTCGGGCCGTTGGGGGCCGCTTTGGTGCCGCGTTTCGCCGTGGCCTCTTTGAGCCAGGGAAGCGTGTATTTGCAGCTCCTTCGGGGGCGCCCTGGGCCGGGGAAGTGTGTATTTGCATTCCCCCCTGGCTGGGCATGTGGACCTCGGTTCTGGGTTGGCAAAATCGGGGCGCCCTCGAGGTGGCGAGCGTTCACATTTTCGAAATACACAGATCAAGATGTGATCTGTGTACACAGTTTGTGTCTTCAACTGTGTATTTTCGTGTGCGGGCCCACTGTCTACACAGATCGTGGTGTGATCTGTGTACGCAGATCTGGTTCCCATCTGTGTCTTTGGAGTGTGCCCCTCGCGGGTGGTGTTGATTGGGCGGGCACTTTCACGTTTCTCGCTCGGCTGGTCCAGGGGGGGCGTCGTGCGCGGTCGAAATACACAGTTCGTTTCTCGAGCTGTGCATTTGTTGCGCGCCGCTCGCGGGAGTGGTCACTGGGCGAGAGTTTCCGCGGGTCGCCCGGCTGGTCCAGCAGGGGGCCGTGGTTTGGGAGTGCCAAGGCGCGGGGGTAGGTGGGGATGGTGGGCTGTGGGAATGGAGAGGCTCGATAGGAGGGGTGGCCAAGGGGCCGGGGATGAACGGGATTGGACGAGACGGGAGGAAGTGGGCCCAGGAGGAGCTGCATCATCGATGTCAGCATCACGAGGACGAGGCAGGCGGGGGGGGCAGAAGGAGGGGGCATGATCTGCAGTAGGGCGTGGAAGATGGGAGGAGGGCAAGCACGCGGACGATGGGGGAATTCATCCGGCGGAGGAGGACGACGAGGAACGACGTGAATTGGCACATGGGTGGTGACAGTGTGGGCGAGGGGCCTGATGAGGACGGGGGGTACTCGGAGGGGCATGAGGAGGGTGGGGCCACAGCGAAGGGGTATTGGGAGGAGGCGGGGGGTGGGGCAAGAGTTCGAGGCCGGCGCCCGCAAACGCTTAGTTGAACAGTGTTTTGCGTGTCCGTGCACCCCCCAGAACACTGCGACCGGTTGGAGAGATTCATGATATGGGTAATCGTGCGCCTCGTGCTTCCAGGCCGAAGTCTCGAGTCCACGACGCCCCTTGGCGTCGCGTCGATGCCGCCCCGATTTGCCAGACCGCATATGCACATATCGTCATAATGTGTGTTTCAACGGTTGTTGCATGACCCTCTCTATAGTAACAGACCCACGTTGGAGTTCCCCCCCCCCCCCCTTCCACCCAGCTCCGAGCAGACCGCCTCTGGGGCCGCACCCCCGGGGCACGCAGAGGGCTCGACGGGCGACGTGGCGAAGTCCACGCGCAAGTTGCCCTGACGCTCTTCCATGGCACGTGGTGGTGCAGCCCTGCCGCGGTGATCCGCTTCGCTTTTGAGTCATCGTGTCGTCGTCGATGGCGGGGAAACAAAAAACACGCCAGTCGTTGAAGGGAAGTGTCCGGGGACTCCCAGCTGCCGATCCCCTTCGAGCGCCTGCCTGCTGCAAGCATCGATGTGCTCTGGCTGCGTCGGGCGGTTCTCTGGGATAGGGCCTGGGCCCAGTCCGCTTCACACGCCTGCCTACTCTTCACGCTTTTACCCACTTTTCTCCCGACCGACGGGCACCCTCGCCGATCCACGCTTCGGGCCACTCGCTGGGCGGCAACAGTTCGGAGCCCGCCGGGCGCGCGGCGAAGTCCGAGCCCTATACCCTCGCCGATCCCCGACTCGGGCAACTCTGATGGGCGACGTGGGGCATGCCTGGCATCGCTCGGACGTGTGATTTTTTTCTCAGCGAGAGCCATTGAGGACGACCCTGGACCATCGAGCAAAAAAAAAAAAACGCATGAAACCGAAAAATGCACGGGAAATGGACGTCCGAGCGATGGCGAGCATGGAGCTCGTCGGGCACGTGGCGAAGTCCGACCCGAGCCCTACCCTCGCCGGTTCACGACTCAGGAGCATCGACGGCTGGTGCGGGCAGGGTTCGGACGTCGCCGCCTGCTGCGGACGGCCTCGGGGCGCGGAGCCTGCTGCTCCAGACTCAGAGGTGGTTCGAGCCGCTGGAGGTCCAAGCCTCCCTCCCTGCCTCGGAGTCTCGTGGACGTCCCGCCCGTAGAGTTCGATGCGTGGGCGGAGAACATATCGAACATATCCGTATCCACGGTCCTCGCGGGCCGGGCCCCTGTGCCGCGACCCCGTGGATACTTGGCGTGCTTTTGGGCGAGTGGCCCTCGCGGAACGTATCCGTGCGACCGCGCATTCGCGGGATCGCGCCCCAGAACCCAAACTCCGAGGGCGTAAGTACGGATATGTCCATCGCCCCTGACGATTGGCCCGCAGACTTCGACGGGGAGAGTCTTGGAAGGGACCGCCCCGGCGCCCGCGTCAGAGGCCTGGGGCTCACGGCTGGTCCTGGCGCGGCTCTACGACAAGCCCGAGCCGCGGGCCTTCTTCGGCGGCGACTGCGCCCCGGGGGCTTGAAGCCGACGGTGGCCAAAAGGACGAGGGTACGATGATGATGATGAGGAGGAGGATCACCACCCACCAAACCACCCCAACCCAACTTGAAGGCTTCAATTCGCCCTCCGTTCCCAGTGGAGGGGGGCGTCGGGGAGCATTGAAAACAGACATGTGGAACCCGTACCCGCACCCGATTCGGCGCACTCCTCAGACGCTTCGTGGCCCCAGAGGGAGCTCCACCGAACGTGATACCCACAACGGGCGTTGTGGCGCACACGTCTGTCGTTGCAGCAGCAGCTGTGGTGTACACCGGCATAGTGGGTGTACGCAAGCATTGTGTTGTAGACATCACAAGCCCTGTGGTGCACACGTACGCCGTAATGTACACAATCGATGCAGTGCGCAACATCTCTTTGATGTAAGTGTGCTTTATGGGCTATAATGTGCCCACGCATTTTTTCCTACTTCTCCCTCCTCCTCCCTCTTCATGTTCGTGCTCCTCGTTGTCGTCCTCCTTGCGCATACAAGACGCGGGCATTGTGGTGTACACAAGCATTGTGGTGCACACAAGCCTTGTGGTGCACATCGGCGTTGTGAGTCACATTCGTTGTGGGCTCAAAATGTCCAAGCGCTACTCGGGCCAGAAAAACCAATAATCACAATCAGGTCACATATTGAATCTGATACATTCGGGCCCCCAACGATTTCCCGGACTTTGGCTCCGTCGGGGCCGTAGAGATGTGTACACAAGGTTTGTGGTGAACGCAGGCCTTGTGGTGCAGGAGGAGGGGTGCTGAAAAAGCAGCTGTGGTGTCAATAGTCACAGGCGTTGCGGTGCAGACGGCTGCTGTGGTGCACACAGGCATTGCGGTGTACACAGGCGCCTCGAGACCGCAGTTCTCCCGTCTACTCCCCAGGTTACGCCGGAAGCAGGGGTTCTCGGACAGGGCGCTTTCGACCTCGTCGACCGGAAGCTGACCGCTGCTTTTGACGGGTGCACTCGCGCCCGCTTGGAGCACGAGGCGTGGTACCCGCAGGGTCAGCGTGCGTAAGCAGGCACTGTGGTGCACAGGGGGTGCTGAAACAGCAGCTGCGGTGCACGCAGGCGCCGTGGTGTGCACAAACAGTGTGATGTGCAAAGGCGCTGTGGTGCACACGGTTGTTAGGGTGTATACAGTCTCCGTGGTGCACACACAAACCATTTCTGTAGCAGTCCTGGTGCACGAAGACATTGTGGTGTAAGGAGCCCGTGTTCTGTGCACAGGAATTGTGTGCTTGGACGGCGACGACGACAACGACGACGATGACGACGACGACGTAATTAGGCGGCGCGCCTCGGGGGGTGCTCGCCGCGGCTCCGTTACCGTTACCCCCCCCCCGCTCCCCCCGCGCCCCCAGGGTAACACGTGTTATCCCCCAGGATAAAGATAACGGTCTTTGCTCACAACGGCATTTGGTTGGGTCTTTCGCCAGGATAATTTGTTTATTGGTTCCATGCTCATGAGCAGAAATGACGCCCCGGCCTTTCCAAGAACCGCTAAGACAATCCATGGCTGGATTCGTATTCGCTGGCTCGTCCTCGACTCCTCTACCAAGACCCGCGCCGGCGACCAGCTGTTCCGAGGTCTCCCACGTTGTGTTGCTGCTGCTTGCGTCGTGGGTTCTTGCAACCTTGAACGGACTTACCGGCAGTGTTTTTCCACAGGTCTGGATTGGCGACTGCGTCACCTTATCCCAGTCGAACCCTTGCAGGGCACTGTCCTCGGTTGAGAGCAGTCTGCGCCCCGCGTTGCGAGCACTCCCTTGCAGAGAAAAGCTCTCGGTTCAGAGGGCGTAGAGAAGCATGATTCGGTACGCATCCTGCCACGATGGCACGGGGTCTGCCCGACGATGGGGGCGCTACTGTGCCTGTGGTGCCAGATCCACGAGGCGGGGCACTGGACGAGTCCCAGAATGATCTCCTCTTCCTTTCCCCTTCCAGGGACTATTCGGCGAAGTATTATTCCTCTGTTTGTGGTCCTCTCGTCCTATGTGATCCTCTTCCGCTCGAAGTGGACCCCGCATGAAATAGAGCGCCCTCTCGGCGGAACCACACATACCAAAGGCCCCAGTGGTTCCTCCATTGTGCGCGCCCGCCCGCTGCGTACCAAAGAGGTGGTTACATCCCCGCGGATGGATCCAGGCATTATGGCAGCTGGCAGCAGGATGCAGAAGCATCGGCAGTCGTACGACGTTGGTACCGTTCTGCAGCCTAGTCGCGCCTTTGTCTGTGTTGTCGTCCTCGTCTACCTCTTCCTCGTCCTCCTGCTTGGGCTTCCGTCGGGGATCATCAGTTAACATTGAAACGATACAGGAAAGACTAGCACGGCTCCTGCACAAAGGTGACACGCCAATATCGAGAAGTATATACAAAATAATACATACGGCCGTCTCCTAACCCTCCTGCTCCTCCTCATCGTTCTTATCATCGTTCCCTCCATGCTATTACATTTTCTGGCCGTGACGTCACACCTCTCCACTCCCAGGCTCGCCTCCGTAGCCGTATTGGTTCCAGAGGACACGCCCCACCTCTTTGCCACCCTTCTCTCCCTTGCTCTCTTTCCACCCTCCCCCCCCCGCTTCCGCGCGCGTTGCCGAGAGGTTATGGTCTCTGATGAGTCTGTTGTATGCGCGTCGCAGGCCACGCAGGCTTTGGCTATTTCCATTTTCTTGTACGAGGGCTTCGCGTACAACGTGGTGTTCCTGATGAGAATACTGCCAGCCCTGGGCAAGCAGGCCTGCACGGTGGCCTTCGCCGTCGTCTTCAACGCGTTCTGGGGCCTCGCGCTGTGGGCGTACTTCGCCGCGCACGCTGCCGACCCGGGCACGCTGCCCGAGCGGTGGAGGGAGTTCGTGAATGAGGTCGGCGACGCGCTGCCCATTGCGCCCTCCCGCCCGGAGTGGCAGCCAGGAAAGGCCACCTTCTGCAAGAAGTGCAACTTGCCGCGCCCAGAGCGAGCGCACCACTGTGTCATCTGCGGCGTCTGCGTGCTCCGCATGGACCACCACTGCCCGTGGATCAACAACTGCGTCGGCTTCTACAACCATAGTCACCCCCTCTGGCCCAGAAGAGAACGAATAGCCGGCACTGGTTCCCTGTCCTCGCTTTCACCCGCTTCGGGCCCCCTTGGGGGGGGGGCCCTTGCAGCCACGGCCGGGTTCGCTTCGGAGCCCTGGCCAGAGCGTATCCTGGGAGGCGTATGGGGAGCAGCAGCATCGGCATTCACGGTCAAGACTTTGAAATATCGAAGAGCTCGGGTTCGGAAGAGTCTCGCTGTTCCTAAGGTCCTTCCATGGGCGTTCCTCCTCAGCCCTCTTCGTGGCACCCAGGCGCTATGGGGGCCATGGAGGGGCTTCGTTTCTTATCTAGCGTTCCTTATGGCAGCGTCTTGGCTGGCTGTCGGTCCCCCACTGGTCGCCTAAACACGCGGGGGACCGACAGCCATCGCTGATCAAGACCTGGAGCAGGGCTGGGACCGTGGCATCTCTCCGATCTCACGGGCCCCTCCGCGTCTTTTTCGTCTTCTTATTCTTCTTCTTCTTCCTCTTCTTCTTCTAGTGCGTTGGCTTCTTTCAACATGGCCCCTGCCCCCCCCCCTGGTTCGCGCACGCGCCTCGGACCGTGCTGCCCACTCCTCCCCTCTTCCTGGCCCTCTGCCTTGGGGCACCCGATATGGAGGCCAGAAGGGGTGATCGCCGTAAGTATTTTCTGCTCCTGTGCCTATACGCTTGCGCGGCGAGCGCCGTGGCCGTGATCACCGCGCTGCCGCAGCTCAGCTACTGTGCCAGCGCGCTGGCTCGCCTGGAGGGCCAGGTGGTTTCGGAGAACCCTGCACGTTTCGTCAGATTCGACGGGTACATATCTCGGAGGCGCCCAAGAGGGGGTAACGACGGGGGTGTGTGGAGGGAGATCTCGTGGCTGGGGGGCCAAGACACCTCCCCGAGCTCGTGGGCCGCTTTCCTTTTTTCTTTGTCCATAGGGGAACAAAAAGTGACATAAACATAAGAACTCGGAGGTCCGCGCGGATTTCTCGGATCGGCGCTGGACCCCCCTCCCTGGCGCGCGGAGCGCGCCGGGGGCGGCGCCGGAGGCGCCGCCGGGGGGCCCCAGCGCCGATCCGAGAAATCCGCCCGGACCTCCGAGTTCTTATGTTTATGCCACTTTTTGTTCCCCTATTCCAGCACGCTCCCTGGCCCCCACCCGACGGCACACACGCCTCGGGCCATGCTGCGCCCCCCCTGCTCTTCGTCTTGGCCCACCTCTTTGGCGCACCCGACGATCCGATGAGGAGGAGACGGTCCTCGAGGAGACGGCCACCGTGCGTGCTGCTCAGGAGCGCTGCGCAACCCTGCGCGACTGCGCCGGGTTCACGTTCGAGGGCGTGGATTCGCTGTCGGACGCAGAGGCGGAGCACCTGGTGTTCTACAAGGCGAAGTGGAACCTCCTCGGCGAGGGCCATGGCTGGACCTCGTACAGGATGGAGCAGGGCCGCCTCGACACCACCGATGTGGTCCTCTTCCTCCTGTTCGGCGCCCTCGCGGCCCTGGTCGGCATGCTGCTGGCCCCGACGCTGGCCACGCACCTGCCCTTCGCCGTGCAGAACGTGACCAGCATAGAGGACAACTACGAGAACATGCCGAACCCCTTCGACCAGGGCGGCGTCCCCGCGAACCTGGCGCAGGTCTTCGGCGCCTACGGGCCGGACTGGCTGCTGCCGATCCCGCCCCGGCGGCCCCTGTCGGACGGGGTCTCGTTCCCGCGCTCCGACGAGCGCCTCATGCCCGACGGCCTGCCCGAGCGGGCGGCCCCCGGCGACGAGGACGAGGCGAACGAGAGGCTCTGGCGGCTGCGCTACCGCGTCCGCTCCCCCACGACGGCCATCAGGGGCAACCATAGGGGGGGGGATAGGCACATGGGGGGATGCATCGACCCCCACTCGCCCATTGATCGCGGATGTGGGCCCGATGGCCCCAACCTGCCGAAGGAACGTGCGAATTTCACTCTCGGGGGCCTGTCGCCGATCCATCGGCGGCCTATCGCCCATTCGAGGCTCCCTTGTGCCAATCCCCTCCTCCCTACCGTTAAGTCGGGCGTGTCCCCCTACAGAGGGATTTTCGATGAAAAATAAGAAATACCCCAGAAATGGCCCCAAAAAGGCAAACAAAGAAAAAAAAAAAAACTCCAAAATAGTCCCCGGACTATTTTTGGACTATTTTTGGGGTATTCTTAATTTTTCGTCGAAAATCCCCCTGTAGGGGGACAGGCCCGACTTAACCCTACCGTTGCCCCTCAGGCCATGGCCGAGAGGGGGGAGACCGGGCCGCTGATGTCATCGCCCTGGTCGCGGGTGTTCAGCTGGACGTCGTCCTGAGCAGGCCGCCGCAGAGCCTCGGCGCACACCGTGGAGGGCGGGGGGCCAAAGGAAGCAAGGATTGAGTGTAAGTCGGGCACGTCCCTCTACATGGGGAAGATCCAAAAGTAGTAACAAAATAGTCTGGGGACGATTTTTTTTTTTTGTGTGTGTGTGTGTGTGTTTTAGCTATTTGGGATTATTTTTGGTATATTTTTAATTTTTCGTTCAGAATCCGCCTGTAGGAGGACACGCCCGACCTAAAGCAAGGCGTGCCCCGATGGCCCAGAGACCCAGCGGGCCGAACTTTTTGGAGACGCAGCTTACCGAGCTTCCTCGACCCGTTTCACGGGGCCAGCGGTAAATCGGGAATGTCCCTTTACAGGAGGAATATTCAAAACAGTTGAAAAATACTCTTGGGACGATTTTTCGATTATTGTTTGGCTGTTTTTGAGCATTTCTCCACCATCTTGTGGTGTTGGGTCCTCGACTTTTGAAGAGACGGTCCCCGCGTTCACTCCTCCCGCTGCCCCCTCTCTCCTCTCATCATCATCATCATCATCATCATCATCATCATCATCATCATCATCATCATCATCATCATCATCATCATCATCATCATCATCATCATCATCATCATCATCATCATCATCATCATCATCATCGTCGTCACCCATTTCAGCACACCCCTCGCACGCTTCGTGGCCCCATACGGAGCTCCACCGAAGGCCCCAGTGCTAGTGCCCGCATGCGTCCCCCCACCCAATACAGCCGTTTGTGGGCCCATACGGAGCTCCACTGAAGGTCCCAGTGAGGGTGCCCGCATGCGTCCCCCCACCCAGTACAGCGTTGCGTGGCCCCATACGGAGCTCCACCAAAGGCTCCAGTGGGGGTGCCCGCATGCGTCCCCCTCACCCAGTACAGCGTTTCGTGGCACCGTAGGGAGCTCCACTGAAGGCCCCAGTTGGGGTGCCCGCATGCGTCCCCCCCACCCGGTACAGCGCTTCGTGACCCCATAGGGAGCTCCATCGAAGGTCCCAATGGTGCCGCCCGCATGCGTCCCCCCACCCAGTACAACGTTTCGTGGCCCTAGAGGGAGCTCCACCGACGGCCCCAGTGCTACCGCCCGCATGAGTCTCCCCCACCCAGTACAGCGGTGCTACCGCCCGCATGCATCTCCCCCACCCAGTACAGCGTTTCATGGCCCCCTGAGGAGTTCCACCGAAGGTCCCAATGCTGCCGTCCGCACGCGTCACCCCCACCCAGTACAACGTTTCGTTGCCCCATAGACCCGAATGCGCCCCCCCACCCAGTACAACGTTTCGTGGTTCCAGATGGAGCTCCACCGAAGGACCCAGCGCTGTCGCCCGCATGCGTCCCCCCAACCCAGTACAGCGCTTCGGGGCCCCATAGGGAGCTCCACCGAATGTCCCAGTGCTACCGCCCGCGTGCGCCCCCCCCACCCAGTACAACGTTTAGTTGCCCCATAGGGAGCTCCACCGTGCTCCAGTGCTGCCGCCCGCATGCGTCCCCGCACCCAGTACAGCGTTTCGTACCCCACAGGGAGCTCCACCGACGGCCCCAGTGCTACCGCCCGCATGCGTCCCTCCACCCAGTACAGCTCTTCGTGGCCCCCTAGGGAGCTCCACCGAATGCCCCAGTGCTACCGTCCGCATGCGTCCCCCTCACCCAGTACAGCGTTTCGTGGCACTAGAGGGACTTCCACCGAAGGACCCAGCGCTGTCGCCCGCATGCGTCCCCCCACACCCAGTACAGCGCTTCGTGGCCCCATAAGGAGCTCCACCGAAGGTCCCAGCGCTACAGCCCGCATGCGTCACCCCCACCCAGTGCAGGTCTTCGTGGCCCCATAGGGAGCTCCACCGACGGCCCCAGTGCTACCGCCCGCATGCGTTCCCCGCAACCAGTTCCGCGCTTCGTGGTCCCATAGGGAGCTCCACCGAAGAACATTTTTTCAATTGCGGCGCTCGCAACTCCATATGGTTGGGTCCTTCGCCAGGATATTGTTTGACATTCGTTTTTGTTCGCCCCAAATCCGCCGGTAGGGGGACATGTCCGACCTAATGGCAGCTGTTCCTGCCGAGTCGCTCTTTGAAGGCACCGAAGCAGGTATCCCAGGGGCAAGCTGCCCGTCGCGACATTGCCGCTGGATTTATCGGCATGACTCGGCTAATTCACTTGAGTGACGCTGCGCAGCTGCCGTCGGGCCCGATCTCGTTGCACTGGCAGTTGCATGCGCGACCTCCGGATTGGCGCGCGCGCCCGCTCGCAGACCGCCTCGCGCTGAACTCCGACTTTCGCGCAAGAGACGTGGCTCGATGAGGGAAGCACCTCGTCGCAATCGTCGCCGTCGTCGTCGTCGTCGGTGTCGTTGTCGTTGGTGTCGAGGTCGTCCCTCTGGAAGGCTCAGAAGCCAGGCGAAGGCTGGCGAACCCGTGGCTGCTGGAGCGGAGCTCTGGGAAACCGTTTTTGTTTCTTCCGGGCAGCAGCCCGCACTCTTTAGTGTGCTGAGCTTTGGTCCAGGGATTAGTTTTCCATTCAGGGGAGACCGTTTTTTTATCGGAGGTGGATAGACCTCCTACCCTGACGCGTCGATTAAGGAAGTGGCCGTTCTCGGTTCGCGAGAGGGCGTCGCGGCCGTCATGTTTGCGGGTCCTGGTCCGTCGGTTTCGGTCCCAGGCAGTTTTCACTAAGGGGAGGTTTACCACAGGGAGGTTTGTCCACCGCCGATCTTGGCAGCCACGGATTTGCCAGCCCTCGCCTAGCTCCCCAGAGTCGCTGAGAAGGCCGCGTTGCTTGGTAATCTCCCAGAGCAGCCTGATCTCTATATCAGCCTGGGACATCCGTATCATCCCTATGATTGGCCTCACCTGATGTCGATGCCGACCTTGGGGGTTTCCTCAATTTCCCAGGGCGCACCCCCAGGATTGCCGTCACACTTGGGCTTGCCGATCGTAGGGGCGGGGGCAAGAGCGAGGCTGCGGCCCACCGCCCACGCCCGTCAACTTTGAATCTGGGGGAAGGGGGGTGCACATTCTGGTCCGACGCGCTTTTGATAACTCCAGGTCCCCACGCCCGTCAACTTTGAATCTGGGGGAAGGGGGGTGCACATTATGGTCCGACGTTCTTTAGATGACTCGAGGTCTTGGCGAGACACGCGTGTGGACATTCTCTTGGTCCACCCACCGTCGCCCGGCTCCCCGGAGTCGCGGGGTGGCCCTGGAGGCGCTCGTCGCCGCGGCCAGGCGCAGCCTCGGTGCTGGGAGCTCGCCGGGAGGGGCGGCCCCCGGGGATCGCGGGAGGGCCCGGCGGAGACCGCGGCGGCCCTCCTCGGCGGCGAGCCCCTTGGGGGGGCCCAGGGAAGCAGGGACCTCGAGGCCCCACCTGCTCCGACCCCATCCAGGAGGCCTCAATTTTGACTGGGGGCCAGGGCTCGTTTCGCTTCCTCCGGTTCGAGATTCGCTTCGATGTCGGTGGCTTCCGATTCCGATTCGGTTCGGCTGGGGATTCCGATCTGGGCTCCGCTTTTTCTCTTAACGAGACAGTGCTATTCTGCCGATTTCCGCCGACTCGACTTCTCCCGGCTTGGCTGCCGATTTTTGCGCCGATCCGATTCTTTTCGATCGCCGACTCGACTTACCGATCCGATCCTGGGCTCTCCTGGTGGAGGGGAAGTATACGCGGGGCGGCGGGCCTCCTCAGCAGAGGCTCGGAAGCCCCCCGGCCTGCCCAGAAGTTCTCCTCTGAGCCTTCCGCGGGGACGCAGAGCACTTCCCAGAAGCCCTTGAAGGGCTCCTGGGAGGCCCCGCCGCGGTCCGAGGAGGCCTTCTCGCCTCCTCGCCTCCCCCCCGTCCGTGCCTGCCGCCCACTGCCCGCCCAGCTCCGCTCGGGAGTCCATCCCCCGCAGGCGCCTCTCCGGGGGGCCCTCCTGGCCCCGCTCCTCGAGGCGGAGGCAGCCCCGGTGACGAGGCGCCTCCGGGAGGCCCACCGGCAGGACGCGGTCGCCCCGCAAGCGTCCCGCTCGGCGGCGCGAAAGGCGGAAGCATCGAGGCAGGATATCTGCGCCATGCTCGCTTCACGAGGCAACTGACCGCGTGCACAGGCGCCCAGCTTTGCAAGGAGCCGCCCGCGACCTAACAGGAAGCTCGCCAACTCAGGGCTGGGAGAGAGCGCCGGCAATCACAGAACGTCATAGGACAGTGTCGAATCGTTCCAGAGCGTTCCCGAGAGCGTTCCAGGACGCTCTGAGAAGGCCGCGTTGCTTGGTAATTTCCCAGAGCAGCGTGATCTCTATCAGCCTGGGACATCCATATCTTTATGATTGGCCTCACCTGATGTCGATGCCGACCTTAGGGGGGTCCTCAATTTCCAAGGGCGCACCCCCAGGATTGCCGTCGCACTTGGGCTTGCCAATCGTAGGGGCAGGGACAAGATCGAGGCTGAGCAGATCTGAGAGATCCCCGATTTGTCCTTGCCCAGCTTTGTCCTTGTCCTGGTTTCGTCTGAGCTCCTCCTCCCCCTCCTCCGCCTCCTCCTCCCGTCTTGGCAGGATCTTGCCCAGGTCTGCGGGGAGGGGGGCGGCGGCCTTCCAGGCCAAGAAGGCAGCGGGCCCTCCTTTGCCTCGCCCTACCTCTCATCCTCGTCTTTCTCCGTCTCCTCTGTTGCCTCCTCCTCGTCTCCCTCCCCCTTCCCGGATGCACATGTCCTCCTCTGGAGGAGGGAGAGAGCGAGGGATATCTATGCATATATATATATATATATATATCTATATATACCTATATAAACATATAGAGAGATATAATATGAAAAAGAAGAGCGACTAATAATAAGAGTAATAATAATACTACTACTAATAATAATAAGAAGAAAACGAATAATAATAATAATGTTAATAATACTACTACTAATAATAATAATAATAATAGTAATAATAATACTACTACTAAGAATAATCATAACACTATTCATAATAACAGGAGAGAGCGAGAGGGAGGGAGGGAGGGCGAGGGGCAGGGCGGAGCGAGAAAGAGAGAGCGAGAGGGAGGGAGGGATGGAGGGCGGAGGTGGGCCGCCAACGACCGGGGGGCCACTCTCAGAGGGTCGATCCGTTCGTCCTGCCTGCCCCCCCCCAGTGTTCCGTGGCGGAGCTTCGATCCATAGCCGTTCGGTTGTTGCTAGAAGTATCGGAGGTGGATAGACCTCCTACCCTGACACGTCGATCGAGGAATTGGCCGTTTTCGGTTCGCGAGAGGGCGTCGCGGCCGTCGTTTTTGCGGGTCCAGGCCCGTTGGTTTCGGTTCCAGGCCGTTTTCACTAAGGGGAGGTTTACTAAAGGGAGGTTTGACCACCGCCGAAAGTACCCCCGGCCCAAGGTCCCCCCAGGAGTCTCGGGGTGGCCCAGGCGGCCTCCAGGGCACCCCTCACGAGGCCCAGAGGGCCCCAGGTGCTCCCAAACGGAGCGGGAAGCTGGGGGCACCTCGGGGCCAGGGGGCTTTTCTGGCAACACCCGAACCATAAATAACTACCGCCCGGGGGATCTATCTTCGGGGGCCCTGGCAGGCGGTGGGTATATAGATGCAGTCGGGCCCGAGGCGAGCCAAGCGCATCCACACCCACCGCCTGGCGAGGTCCCCGAAGATCGATCTCCCGGTTGGGGGTTCCTGACAGATCCCCGCCTCACATCCACGCGAGGCGCGAGCGGGCCCACATCAGGAGACTCTCTCTCTCTCTCTCTCTCTCTCTCTCTTTGCATATATACTTACAGAGGCGGGGTCGGGAGAAGACCTGGCTGAACACACACCCTCCCAGGTGGAGCTTGTTTTCGAGAAGCGCGGAGAAAGCACGAGATAGGCTCACATTCTACAAAACGAAGCGATGTGTATGACACATCGCCTGACTTTCGGCACCCCGTTCGGCCGCTCGCGCCAAAATAGAGCAGCGCCGCCGTGTGGACCCTGCCACCGAGGCCCTCGATGGAGCTCCCTATGGGGCCGCGAACCGTGTGAGCGGTGCGCCAAAACGGGGCGGCGCCGCCATGTGGATCCTGCCACTGGGGCCTTCGGCGGAGCTCCCCGCGGGGCAGCGACGCGTGTGCCGAGACACGGGCCTGCGGGGGGCAGAGGCAGGGACGGGAGGGGGAAGGAGGGAGGAGGGGCAGCGGGAGGAAGGATAGCGCGGGGGGCGCTACCTCTTTAGAGGGTGGACCCCACACCACAGGGCAGGTGGGGAAACAGCCCCACCCGGCTCCCGTCACCAGCTCGGCCGTGGTGGCGCACGGGCGGCGGCGCAGCGGCGGCAGGCAACCGACACTGCGCCGTCCTCGGGGGCTCACCCAGACTGCGCCGTCCTCGGCGCCCCACCTGGGGCCCGGGCCGCAGTGAGGGCCCACCCGCTCCGACCACAACGTCTGCAGCCAAGGCGCCGAAAGAGGGACAGGAGGAGCGGGAGGAGGAGGAGGAGGAGGAGGAGGAGGAGGAGGAGGAGGAGGAGGAGTAGAAGGAGGGGAGGAGGAGGAGGAGGAGGAGGAGGAGGAGAAGGAGGAGGGGAGGAGGAGGAGGAGGAGGAGGAGGGGGATGATGATGATGATGATGATGAGAGGAGGAGGAGGAGGAGGAGGAGGAGGAGGAGGGGAGGAGGAGGGGGAGGAGGAGGAGGAGGAGGGGAGGAGGAGGAGGAGGAGGAGGAAGGAGGAGGAGGAGGAGGAGGAGGAGGAGGAGGAGGAGGAGGAGGAGAAGGAGGAGGAGGAGTAGAAGGAGGAGGAGAAGGAGGACAGTTGAGGTTCGTGTTTTCAGCCCCGCAAGTGGCGCAGTTGTCATGTTCGCGAAACTTCTCTGGCTCCTCTGTGGCATGCTCTGTGGGATCGGGCACTAGCTCACGCACGCACGCATTCTTGTTGCGACGAGGAGGCCGCACCTTGGCGACATCAGGCACCCCAGATTTCCCCAGCGAGCCCATCGCTTCAGCTATAGGCCAGACACCCTGGCGAGCCTTGGCGATAGCAGCCTCAACACAGTGAGTCCTGATGTAGGGATGCTATGGGTGCCCCTTGGCCCCAAACTTAGCTTATTCGATTGCCTTCCGGTTGCCATGCCAAGCCCAGGCCTCGTGGCTTTCTCTGAGGACCCGAGTGGGGGTGAGGTGCGATCTAACCGTTATGCTGCTAATACCTCCACAGCCGTGGTCACCCCCCTCCAGAAGAACTCATGCCAGAGCTCTGAGTAACTAGGCTAGCTTCTCCGTGTCCTACTGAAGGCCTTGGATCCACACGCTGGTCAGCATGTTGCAGTCAGTGCAACTGGTCAGCTCGCCTGGCCATGCAAGCCTAAGGCAC